ATTTTTTTGTTCTTTGGAGATGCAGCTCAGAAGGATTCTTTAGCTCAAACTTGGAAATCACTAATTGGCTCTCCAGCACTGACTACTCGTGCCTTGGACCCATTTATTGAGTTTTTTTTTTTTTGATCAAAACATTACCTTGTTATGTTAATTCGATTACTTATGTCTTCTATCAAGCATCCACCTTAAAATGTGATGGTGTTTCTAAAACCTTGATCTGTTGTTCTAGTAATTGTTTCCCTGGACATGAATTCTTTGGTTCACTGAATTGCTGTCTCTTTTATCCTGTTGACTTTATTTGTAAATCTTTGGTATTGTGCCTGTCTGTGTTGTACCAGGGTATCCTGTTCTCTGCTTTTTTTGTCATCAGATTTTGGTTTACATGGGGAAGGCTTGTGCCAATAGCTTTTCTTGTAGGTATGGAGAGGTTGTCTTGTTTCTTTCGTTCCTTTCTGGACCTGGCAAGATGACTCCCCAGGGACACTGTTGTGGCCTTTGCAGGAAATGCTACTTGTGTGTTGTTCTGCATCAGTGGGGGAGTGAACACAGCCTACTGGCCTAGGATGCCCCACCTGGCTCCGCAGTCATCATAACCTTGTGTGTTAGTGCCAGTCCTACTGGTTTTCTGTACTATTATATATCTATTGTACATGGCGCTTTCGGCAGGAGGAAAAGCAAACATGTATGCTCAGCCTGCCCTCTTACTCCACTCCTTTCCAAACACATGCAGGATAGCTGCAAATGAACACAACCATTAACAGAATCATCAGTGTGATCAGGTGCGCGTCTAGGCTCTGTCACTCGGTAACAGATGATCCTGGGCAAACCACACTGTCTGCCTTTGGAGTGTGCGGCTAAAGAGTAACAGCGGATGGCTGTAAGGAGTCATCCAGATAACACATGCAGTGTTTAGCACAATGCTGGCTCCAGCCCTCAATAACAGTAACTTATTATCATCCTTATTGTTTATCATTGAGAATAATGAAAGAAATATACAAATTATTGGAAATTGTCAAAGCAAACCAAGCATAACAATGCATATGTATTTTTGGTGTTACTTCTTGTCACAATGGGATAGGAATTCAAAAGCTGCAGTGGCTGGGTGTGGTGGCCTGTGCCTATAGTCCCAGCTACTCAGGAAGCTGAGGCAGGGAATCCCTTGAGTCTAGGAGTTGGAGGCTGCAGTGAGCTGGGATCACACTATCCAGCCTAGGTGATGGAGTGAGACTCAGTCACTTAAACAAAAATGTAAAAGCTGCAGTGATGTTTGTGTGGAAAGGCCTCACAAGTGGAAGCATAAAGCGTAAAGGAGGGTCTTACACTAGTCTGACAGTTCCTGAAAATATGCCATTGTGGAGATTTGTTGAAAGGGTAAGTAGGTTTACCCTTTTTTTTTTTTTAAGACAGAGTCTCACTTTGTTGTCCATGGTAGAGAGTGCCATGACTTCACAGCTCACGGCAACCTCACTCTTGGGCTTAAGCGATTCTTTTGCCTCAGCCTCCTAAGTAGCTGGAGCCCTCTACAACATCTGGCTATTTTTTAGAGACAGGGGTCTTGCCCTGGCTCAGGCTGGGTTCAAACTTGTGAGCTCAGGCAATCCACCTTCCTCAGCCTTCCAGAGTGCTGGGATTACAGGTGTGAGCCACCATGCCTGGCCAACATTTTAGTGTTCTGAAACCTGATTTAAAGCAACTGCAAGTATATTCTTTGAAGCTTCAGTATACTCAGACAACACCTTCAAAAATTCACATTCAAGGCCAGGTGCAGTGGCTCATGCCTATAATCCCAGCACTCTGGGAAGCAGAGGTGGGTGGATCAGTTGAGCTCAGGAGTTTGAGACCAGCCTGAGCAAAGCAGAGCAAAGCAGAGCAAAGCAGTCTCTACAAAATAGAAAAATAGTCAGGCACTGTGGTAGGTACCTATAGTCCCAGCTACTTGGGAGGCTGAGATAGGAGGATTGCTTGAGCCTAGGAGTTTGAGGTTGCTATGAGCTGTGATGCCACAGCTCTCTACCTAGGGTGACAGAATGAGACTCTTTCTCAAAACAAAACGAAACAAAAAAAAAAAGGAAGAAAAATTTACATTCAAATCTTTAGATTACCTAACATTCAATTTGTTTTAAGGAGTGAGGTTTCTCCACCCCATTCACTCAGTCGCCCATCTTTCCCACAGTGACCTGAAGCATCACCTGCACTAGCTATCGTTTCCTCTGCCTACCACGCCATCTGTCTTCCAAAAGAGTGTATTGCTATACTCTGGCCGCAGGGGTGGGGAAGGGACTTAAGCTGGACTAATTGGGACCTTTGCCAGGGAATTTTATTTCTCAAGGATTTTTCTAACTGGAGTTGGTAGCAATTATGAGTGAGTGGTATATTCATACATTATTCACAGTTCTTAATGTGTAATTAAAATTTTTTTTAATTTATAAAGTATAAGGAATCTTGAATAATTCATATGCGCAATAAATAATTCATATTTGAAAATGCTCATCAGATAGCTTCATGCCTTTTCAGCGGGAGAAGCCACAGCACCAGGAAGATCGGAGGGCAATTTCAGTAACTCTTCTACTTCTTCCTGCAAAGCCTCTGCTTTTTCATGCAGCAGCATCTACAATAAAATATCGAGACATAAGGACAAAATATGCACTGCTACAGAGTTGCCAGCATTTTTACCACTACCTGTTGGACACCTGAATCCTTCCACATCAGTAATCTAGACATTAATAACGAGATTGAAAAATGGCCACTTAAGAACAAGTGATTACAGTAAATGATGCTGGAGCATTTAGTTAAAACCATTTTAGCTGATCGCTGCAGTAGTCTACCAAAAATAAAAGGAGCTTTAATGCTCTCAAAGATTTGTCTTATTGAAGACTCAGCCACTTAAAAATTAAACTTTTAATCTATAAAATCTAGACAATTTTGCAAAAATTTAATTAGCTCTTGAAAATGTTCTTTATATGTATGCCTTTTATTATTCCTCAAAATTTAGTATGCTTTAAAAAAACCACCTGTATTTCAAGGAAAAGTTTTATTCAAGCTTCTAAAGTTCAAATGGTTAATTAATTTCAAAAGCAACATAAGCAAAAATAGTATTTGTAAATTTGATATACAGAAGATGTCAGTGGGTATTTGCTGACAAATGATTTTTCCTCTTTCTTCTAAAAATCAGAAATATTGGCAATTGTTGCATCTGGGTTTTTTATATGTAGAGGTGAAGCATTTGCACTATACTTTTGTTATAAAATATTTATAATAAAACATTTAGCAAAATCACAAAGGGGAAACAATCCTGAAACTGACTAAAAGTAAAAAAAAAAAACCACTTTACCAGTTTGATAAAGCATAGCATTACAGAGTATTAAAAAAAAAAGATTAAATTGTAATTAGGTAGACTTTCTACTAGCTGATGCAATGATGATCATGTAAAACAAATTTCTAAACACATCCTCTAAAAACAAGAAGTTGGATCCTTTGCCAGGTGGTATAATGTTACACTTTGTCGATAGAAGGCTGTGGAAGGACTACAGGGGAAGGGGTTTCTCTTCCCAGTTCTAGCGTGTGTCCTTCGTATGGCTCCTGCAGTGCTCGGCCGTCTGCTGCACATACTGTGTGCTCATTCCAGGGAGTGTCCACAGGACCCCTGGGGATAGCTTCCCAGGGGATTCCATGGGCACTCCAGCTGGCTGCCAAGCCAGTTCAACAGCACACTCCAGGCAGTTTCCTGGCAGGCCGGCCAGCACTCCTGCCTGGCTGCAGCACCACAACAAACTCATCTGGCGTCCAGTGGGTTGTAGCCACATCTCCAGTGATGTCTGAATACCAGCCACAGAGGGCAGCGAGGGGTAGGAGAGGACCATCCCTCAAATTCCTTCTTGTCCTTCAAGTTCTGCTGGTCCCTAAGAGCCAGCCCCTGTTACTAGTTACTAATTCTTTGTGTTAAACTTTCCTATTCAA